CAGGGCTTATGCTGAGTTCAATATTGTATAACTGTATTAACTCAACTGTGAACCTAGAAACTTACAGCCACTTGTGAAAGAGATGCAATCTTGCTCTGGAGTGTGTTACTGAATGTGTTAAAGCTGTAATGAAATGCTTCTAATCATGTGGTTATTAAATAAAAAAATGCTTTGTATGAAATTTTTTTTTAAAAAACAGCACATACTGGGGCTGGAAAAAAATGTCTACAAAGTGATAGTATCTGAAAGAAGAAAGCAAGCCTCTAAAAGATTGAAAGCTGCTAATGGTGAGAGAATTTCACTTGTCTCAAGTGTTCTGCCCCATGGACATTGACAGTGGCTTTATAAAGTGGCTGAACGAAGAGCCTATGTTTATTGCTTCAAAGACTGGGTGGGACCCACGTAAGCAAAACACATGAACACTGAAGTGGAAAGAATCTGTAGAACAAGTAGGCCTAGGCACACTGGGTGGCTCTGGAGGCTTCCCTGGTAGGCCCTGTAGTAGCTCAGGCTACTGCCACCAGGGATGAACCTAGCTGATGTGCACAGAACATGTCTGATGGACAGTTCTGGGCTTTCACAATATTATGTTACTATTTGCACGTTAGGGTACTGACATCATCCACTTTTAAGGTAATTCAGGGGGCTTTGATAGCCAAATCTCAAATTTGTTTGCAATATACAAGCTGTAAATCACTATTCCTACTCAAAATGTACAAAGGAATTTTCCTATAATGCTAGTTCAGATCCATGAAGGACATTTCCTCTCATATAGCATTTCATAGCACCTACTGAACACAATCCTCCATAGCTTATTTATTTAAAAATTCACTACGGGCTCTGAATATCTAGAACAAGTTTCAGAGGTGTATCAGATACAGCGTCATCGAGACACACTTAGTCCAGGACATCCTGCTCCAACAGCAACAACTGGTACATAATAGGAGTTACTAGGCATTAAGTGTTGAATGAATTAGGTGAGGAATGTTTTTTTTTTAATTTTTTAATTTTTTTGAGACAGGGTCTCCCTGTAGCCCCAGCTGGCCTACAACTCGCTATGTAGACCAGACTGGCCTCCACCTCACAGAGAATCATCTGCTTCTGTCTCTCAAGTGCTGGGAATAAAGCCATGTACCACCACATCTCTCAAGGAGTTCTTTTTAAAAATTACTTTATTATTTATCTATGTGTATCTCTCTCTCTCTCTCTCTCTCTCTCTCTCTCAGCTGGAATAGGGTGTGACTTCTGAAAGGGCAGTGAGCACTCTTGACCACTGAGCCATCTCTCCAGTCCTGGTGAAGAATTCTTTGTATAGAGTCCTCACCATCAGCTGCAAGAAGTTACATAATACAACTCTTAGTATAACTCTGTGTGCTACAGGTATTATGTCACAATATGACATCTTATAGCAAAGATACAGAAGAAACAATGTGAAATATTAAGGACACAAGGCTGCATAATTTCTGTGTTCAGTATGGTAGGTACATATGTGCGTGCATGTGGGCAGAAGACAAGTACTTCTCAAGGAAGATCAATACCAGAGGTAGCACTTAAACTGAGGCTTTGAAAGGCCAAATACAAATACAAGGAGGGGAAATAAGTCTGAGAAAGTAGAGTAACACGTACAAAGGCCCAGAGGAATGACGGGATACCTTGTTTATGAGGTGATTATATGTAATTAGCTGAGTGGGCAGAGTGAGAAGGTGAGCACCGAGTGAGGACACATGGGCACGCATGCTAAGTATGACAAGTCATAACTTCAGGATATCCCTGAGAATCATTGGTGGACAGTTGTAAAATTCAAGCAGTTCAAAATTCAAGTTGTAAAATTCTCAAGAGAGAAACATAAATATGTGTGACAGAAAGTGACTTCTGGGGACAAAATAGAAAGTGAGATAGAGAAGTCCAAGGACAAACAGATTTGAAGGAGAAAGGACTCGATGTCAAGAGCTAAGATGTGTCTCACATAAGCAGTGGCTGTAAGAATTACATAAGAGAGGCTAATATATTGGCATTTTGAAATTTGGAAGAATTAATTCATTGAAAATACATAGTATGAAAAAGGAAGAATCTAAATTAACTTACAAGTTTATGTCTTGGAGAACAGAATGTAGGGGACATTTCCTAAAATTATGGAGTATAGGAATAATGTGACATGGAAGCCATCAAAAAGAAATATGATTCCATTTGGGTAATGTAAATCTAAATTGGCCTGTAGGGCATATGAGAGGACGAGTCAAGCACGAGGACCATGGATCTGCTCGTTCTCTGTTCATTTCAGCTGACACTGCTGAAAGCCAGAGTGAGGTAAAAAGAGAGAGTATACAATGAAGCACAGATCCGGGTCACAGTCACCTGCAGACAATGAGCATCTAAGCAATAAAGACCCTGAACTAAGGTTAAGAACAGAATTTCAGTACTTGCTTTGGCAGCACATGTACTAAAATAGGAATGATACAGAGAAGATCAGCATGGCCCCTATGCAAGGATGACAGGTGAATCTATGAAGCGTTCTATTAAAAGAAGAAAAAGAGGAATAGGAGGAGGAGGAGGAGGAGGAAGAGGAGGAGAGGAGGAGGAGGAGGAAGAGGAGGAGGAGGAGAGGAGGAGGAGGAAGAGGAAGAAGAGGAGGAGGAGGAGAGGAGGAGGAGGAAGAGGAAGAAGAGGAGGAGGAGGAGAGGAGGAGGAGGAAGAGGAAGAAGAGGAGGAGGAGGAGAGGAGGAGGAGGAAGAGGAAGAAGAGGAGGAGGAGGAGAGGAGGAGGAGGAAGAGGAGGAAGAGGAGGAAAAGGAGGAAGAGAAGGAGGAGGAGGAAGAGGAGGAGGAGAGGAGGAGGAGAAGGAAGAGGAGGAGGAAGAGGAGGAAGAGGAGGAGGAGGAGAGGAGGAGGAGGAAGAGGAAGAAGAGGAGGAAAAGTAGGAAGAGAAGGAGGAGGAGGAAGAGGAGGAGGAGAGGAAGGATATTTCAAAGATGGAGAAGCACAACATAATATAAAGAGACTGGGACAGCATTTTCTGGTAATTACCTTCCATGTCACTTTGGCTCTGATAGTTCTCCCACTGAGATGAAGACTCTACCATTCTTCCCCTGGACGCCTGGGTGAGGCTCTGATAGCTTTCACTTGTTCCCCAGAACCCAGCTCCCATGTTCCAAGAAAGCCCAAGTGAGACCAGCAGAGAGACGACCTGAAGGGACCATGTGAAGGAATTCTGCTGACAGATTGGCAGAGGCATTAGCCAACACTCATCACAGATCAATGAAGATGCCTCCAGATGATTGCTGCTCACAGTTTCCAACTCCTCCCTAGCCTTCAGCTCTTCCCATACTTCCCAGGTAGAGACAAGACAACCCTCTGTGTCCAGTCCAAATGTCCCATCCTAAGTGTCTGAGCATTATGTAATGGCTGGTTTATACCATCAGGCTTAGAGTGAGGGCAATCACAGAGGTTACTGGCTGAGTGGAACAGAAGTCAAACAAATGAATAGGAATTCTCAAGAAAGAACAGAAGCTAATCAGAGTGTTCAAAGATGACACACAAGTGTCTGCCTGCCTGGGAAGCTAGAAGGCCATGTGATATGCAGGATCCATGCAGAGGTTATGTCCCAGGGGACATGCAGCAATGAAAATGCACTGCAAATCCCAAGTTCGAATCATCGTTTCTGTTGTTTTCAGAATACAGCTCTACAAGTAACCGTTGCTGGTTTATACTACCAAATAAAATCATGGGATCCAACAAAATTAATAATGATTAAACTAATGATTTTCAAGTATTCCAAAAGGTCTTTTTTTTTCTTAGCATGTACTGTGCTAAACATTGAGTGATGAAGAAGAAAGGTAAGTCATAGAAAATTTGAAAAGGGGCCCAGTTCTTTGGGCAGGCGTCCTAGTTTATTTCTTCACTGCTGTGACAAAATACTCTGACCACTACCAACTTGGGGAGGAAAGGGTTTATTTAGCTTACATCTCTAAGGTCACAGTTCATCTGGGAGCCCAAGGTAGGAACTCAGGGCAGGAACCTGGAGGCAGGAGCTGGAGCACAGGCCATGGAGGAATGCTGCTTACTGGCTTGCTTTTCACAAGAGGTGAGTTAGGAGATTCAAATGGGTCTATCTCTATAATTGTTTCAAATAGTCTACACCATGGATTTTCAGTGCTCTCCATGCTATCTGAAGACTCTGAGTCAGAGAGCCTGCTCCAAATACCAACAAGCCCATTTAAAGAAATTCATCCTTACAGAACCAGTAGAATGAATATATATGTATAGAGATTTATCAGCTTAGCTCACAGGATAGAGTCTGAGTAGTCCAACAATGGCTGCACCACACTGGAGAGGCTGAGAATCCATAGTCGCTCAGTCCACAAAGCTGGATGTCTCAGTAGTCCCAATTTGGCGCTGAAGGTCTGACAAATTCCAAAAGATCAGCTAGTCTTTAGCATAAAGCAGCAAGATGAACTCACTATGGAGAGAAGGCAAGCAGTATTCCTCCATGGCCTGTGCTCCAGCTCCTGCCTCCAAGTTCCTGCCCTGAGTTCCTACCTTGGGCTCCCAGATGAACTGTGACCTGGGATACTTAAGCTAAATAAACCCTTTCCTCCCCAAGTTGGTAGTGGTCAGAGTATTTTATCACAGCAATGAATGAAGAAACAAACCAGGACAGCAGGATATCATCTTTCAATTCTTTATTCTCATCAGTACTAGTCTTGTCCTTTGATCCTTTGTTACCTGGCATCCACACACTATGTGCTGTAGTCTAATCTCTTATTTGGAGGAAATCTTCTCTAAGGAAAATATCATGGAATGGTAAATTCATTAAATAATATACAAATAGTTAAAATAAACACCAAATTAAAAATAAGAGAATAAATATTTTTCATCTATCAATAAACAATGCTCTCTACTTCCACCTCCATCAGTAGAAGTCTGACTACAGCAAAAAGACATGATGCAAAAAAGTAAAAAGGATTTCCAGATTAGCAAGGGCAAAAGTAAAGCTGTTCTTCTCTTGAATGGCATGATCTTCTGTGTAGAAACTGGAGGGATCTATAAAGCATTGCTACAACAAAGGGATTAAAGCACTAATGTCACGGAATACAAGGTCAACACAGGAAAATCAATTGTATTTGTACACACTAGTGACAACATATCGGATGGAGTAATTCAATATGGTACCAGGGGACTGTGGGATAGCCCCACATCTCAGATCCATGTTGGAAGACTCCCAAGACCCAGCATGTAGTTGCACTCAGGCTAAGATTTGTTAGAGTGCTGTGGTAAGGATAAGCAACCAGGTCAAAAGGGCCAAAGACACAGACAGACTCCTGTGAACACTCTCATGTACTTTCTTTCACATGAGTGACATGGTGCTCTCTATACGCTGGAAACAAAAAGGCAGCTGCATGTGTTTGATGTTCCTGTACAAGGAAGCCTTTTAGAGACTCGGTGGACAAGCCCGTTTAAATGGAGCAGGGATGGAAGGGTCGCAGGAGATGACCACATCTGTATCTTCTGCCTAATTCCAAATTCCAGAGTCCCAGAAGGAAAGCAGACATTCAACAAAACCGTGCTAGGTCTCCAAACCCCTAGGCACAGTGAGCCCACCTTGACAGCCAGGCAGTCTTTCTTCTTCTAACAAGTACAGAAAACTACGTACAAATCAAGTTCCCAAACACCACTCTAGGTGGCCAGGCTTGCCAGTGGTCTAAGCTCTGCAGTATTAACTTTTTCAAATGCTATTAAAAACTGCAGTAGCTCCCCCCTCAAACTGACAATTTACTATAAAATATATTGAAAAGTGAAGCACGTAAAACAGAAAAAAAAACTAGTTATAATCACCTTGGAAGACCTGTAAGGTCTCATTTAAGGCCAACTATAGAGCTAGAAGAAGCTGTACAATAAGGATAAATAACTGACAAATGAGAAAAGTTCACACCCAGCTGCTCATTCATGTATCTAAATGATTTTTGATAAGTCACTAATGTTGATCAACAATTGCTCACAAGTAACTATAAACCTTGATCAGAAAAAATGAAAACAGCACATCCCTCCTTTCTATCACATACAAATTAACATAAATGGTTCATAAATTTAGTAAAAAAGTAAAATTATAAAACATCTTGAAGACAGTATATAAGAGCACTGTCATAAGCTTAAGGTTAAATTCAAATCTTAACTATATTGAGACAACACTTTATACTCACTACAAGGGCCATAATCACAAAGGCAGATAATAACTGTTTGATTAGATATTGAATTATTGGAACTGTGTATCTTGCAGTGAGAATTCAAATGAAAATGCAGTTTTGGAAGAATTGCCATAAAATCAAGTGATCCCATTCCTAGGGAATATTCCTTGATGTAACCAAGATAAACCAGCATATGCATTCATAGAAAAATAGACACCGATAGTCACAAGAGTCAAAAAGTAGAAATAACCCAAACACCCATTAACATATGAATGGATACAAGATTTAAACTATCCATTGAATTATTATTCAGTCATGAAAATAATGAAGTACTGATACATGGAAGAACATGGATGAACCTCAAAACCACGTTGTCAACAAAGAGAGCAACAGAAGCTCACATCCATGATGATGGAAGTTATAGACTATATCCCAAATCGAAATCCCATAGAGACAGAAGGTAGTTAGTATATCCCAGGTTTTTCAGAGAATACTAGGTTGGGAAGCAAATGATGCATGACTTCAGAGTCTACAGGTTTCTTTGGAGGGTACCAAAATTCTTCTAGAAATTATTGTCCTGAATAATAAATGACTGGTAGTTGTATGCCTCTCAATAACCCTCAAACCATGGATTATATACTTGTAACGAATGAACTGGAAACCATGACAATTATATATCACTAACTCTAGTAACCATACTTACTCATTTTCTTTATTATATTTTACTTAACTATAATACCACAAAAGAGACACAATTTCAAACCATAAGGATATGGAGCAAATGGAATTCTTAAGAGGGATCAATCACCTTTCAAACTGTCTTCCTCTACCTTATAATGTGCAGCATACTCTTACCATGTGATATAGCCATTTTGATCTTGCCATTCATTTCAAGATAAAAAAATGTCCATGAAATGTCATACACACAAATGTTCATGCTCAGTATTATTCATAAGCGCATAGAGCTAGAAAGCACCTAAATTCCTTTAGATAAATGCATGTGCTTAAAAAAAGATATTGCTAGGCATGTTCCTGTAATTCTAGCAAATTGGGAGGCTGATTCAAGAGTATCCTGAGTTTGAGGACAGCTTGGGTTTCATAGAGAGATAATGTCTTAAAAACAAAAAGCTGGGCATGGCAGTGCACACCTGTAATCCCAGCGCTCAGAAGACAAAGGCGGGAGAGGGAGCATCACAAGTTTGAAGTTGATTTGGTCTACATGGCAAGGTCCAGGCCAACCAGAGCTACACAGTGAGACCAGTCTCAGAAAACCAAAGTAAAAGATACAAATACAAAAATATGAGAGGAAAATAAGAAAAAAATAGAGAAATTTAAACATGAAA